TAAAAGTTATACCAGTGTTATTATAACCCTTCTCATTTTAAAATATATAAATTATTACTTAAACTTTTAAATTTATAATAAATAATTTAAATTGTATCATAAAATTAATTTTAAATAGAAATAAGTAGATTGTTAATTATAAAAGTAAGTATATATATAAATAAAGATTAATTAAATATAATATAATTATTATTATTAGTAATATAATTATTATATATATTATTATATATTTATAATGGTCCAGACACACCGAAATGAGGGATCCAAAGATAGTATAAGTATGAGATTGTATAGTTGAAGATGACTTAAATGAATTAATTTGTACTACTTATTCTAACAACATGCATATGCTTTTCGGTAGCTTATCTCATCAGAACTTCATAGTTAAGCGTGCTTGACTTTGAGTAATATAGGGATGGGTGACCTTCTGGAATGTTTCCCAAAAATTGTGTAATTAAGGACAAAACATACTGAAAAGTGAAGTATTGTGAAATAGAATCATTGAGAGACCAAATATGAGTGGTTCGTAGCGACCGAATTTGCGATGTCTATAAAATTTAATAAAATGAAAAATAAATATTTAGCGATCGATTTAGAGACTAAACTAAAAAATCATTTTTATTTTATTTAAAAATAAAAACAAACTTAGCGACCGGTTTAGCGACGTATTATTCGGTCACCAATTTGGTCTCATACACAATAGCGACAAAAATCATTGCTACCATTTTGCGACTGAAATTTTTGGTTGTTAAATAGCGAGCTAGCAACCTATGATATTTTCGTCGCTATATAGCTTTGCGACCAGGGTTTTTGTAATTACTTAATTTCGGTCGCTAATTCAGTCACTAAGGTAAATAGCGACCGATTTTAGCAATTTAGCGACCAATATTGGTGATCGCTAAATGCCATATTTTTTGTAGAGTTGCTAGTCAAGCAACACCTAGTTATATTAGAACAATCTCCACCAAAACATCAACATCACCAACATGACACAATATCCTACTTGCTCTTTAGTTTAATCTTGCTCTGCCCCCATAATAATATAATCATCATAGTCCAACAACATGAAAAAATAAGAGTAAACTTGTATGCAAAGAGAACATCATATAATATAGAAGCAAATAAGCTAACTATATAAACAATTTCATAACATGAATACAACTTTACAATTAAACAACTTTGCCACACAACTTTTAGCTCAACATTCAACAATGCATACAACCTTCAACAATATTTCTACTAGACAACACAACAACAAATTATAAAACTTATAAATTATATCATATTAACCAACAACACAACATGTTTATGCGTTGTCACGCATTTTAACTAAGAGATATCTAACAACACATGTAAGTAGTTTAAGTGAATTGACCTTACCAAATCACATCGTTTGATCCCTAAAAAGAAGATCAAGTCAACATAATGTATGGCACGCCGATACCAAGTCAATACGAAAGGTTGCGTACCAATGCCTATTCAACAAATTTACTTATTTCATGGATGTCGCCACTTAGATTAGGAAAGTCAAGTACCATTATTAGATATAAAACAGCTTGGGTGTATGTGGATCTTGATGAGACTTGAAATTGGGAATTTCTAAAATTGAGAATTCAGTTAGAATTGGGGAATTTCATTCTTTCAAGTGAATAAAAACACAGAAGGAAAGAAAGGGAAGGGAAAGAAAGGCATCACAAACAAGGTCGTTTGATAAGTCTGAGAATTACCACAAGAATTGGAGAATTCTTGATAAGATCAAAAGATGCAAGGAAGAATCCTAGCAGAGCTTAAACTCATAATTTAGAAAATGATCAAAGGTCCTTTCATTATGGAATCCAAAAGGATTAATACAAATTTAGTTTATGGGTTTGCTTCATTTTGGAGTAAATAAAAGAAAATTAAAATCTCCAAATGACATGTAAAACTATATATATATATATATATATGTGTGTGTGTGTGTGTATAAAGAGAGGAAGGTTCAAACAATACTGATGTAATTTTTATTAACTATTATACCATTGAATAATTTTATATTAAATTTAAAATTTTTTAAGTTTATCATTATATTGAAAGTTTTACTCCTAGATCATATAAATAAAATTTATATCAATCCAAAATAATTTGATATCTTATTCTTATATAACAAAATTGACGTATTATATTCATTTTAAATATATATTAAAATGTGAACACTTTGATTACCTTCAAATTATTGTTCAATTTTAACAAAATTTGATATAAATACACAAGGTGATATGTAGTTACAATTCCATGTCTGAATCAACAAAATTCACATTCAATATAAAATTATTGAACGATATGAACTCTCCTTTTATTTATATATATATATATATATATAATATTTGTACA